TTGCTTGTATTCTTTTGGCTTTGGTGTTGATGTATATGTGTGTTTTCAAGTTTCTTGTTGTGCTGTATTCTCTGTTGATTCTGTGCTCTGCTGTTCTCTTGGGAAGTGTATATATTCTTTATACATTCTGGATGTAGCTTCTTTTTAAGATAGAAGAAAGAAAAGGAAGAAAGACACTTTGACATGCGTTTTCAAATCTGTTAATGTAATCTTTTATGAACTGAAATCTTATTTTAATGAAGTCCAGTCTATCCATTCTTTTTCCTACTCCAAGGTCATGAAGATATTCTGTATTATACTTGATCACTTGAATTTCCAATTTAAGACACATCTTGAAATATATGTCTGAACTTATAGTGTACAATCCCAATATAAATAACATTTTAACTAAACTATTATCACAAAACTATTATCAATTTTATAAGTACATTTTCATAAGAAATTAACTCCCTTAAAAAACAACGCTTTAAAGAAAAAATTTTTTAAATAAATTTTCTTACAAGCCCATTAAGAAAGGGAGGGTATGAGTTTTATCACAGCAGTAACAAGTGGTGTTAAAAGCATGGACTTAGGGCTAAACAGGCTGAAATCATGGCTACCCATTTAACAAGCTGTGTAGTTTTACAAATAGTTTATCTCTGACTGGATTTCTTCAATTGTAAAATATAGATAACATATGAATATAAAGTATTGACACTAAATGCAGCACACAATCACTCCATACCTGCTGTTGATTATGACTAAGATGTTATTATTAACATGAGTTATATGAGCTCACGAAACTTAAGTTTTTGGTACTGTGAATAAAGTAAGCATCCAATCAAGCTGTAATACAAATGGTGAGAAGCCCTCAGACCAGTATAAAGTGCTTTGTGGAAGGAGAGATCATAAGCGATCAGGAATTAGGAAACAGGTGATATGGTTCCCAGGAGATTTTGAGAGGCAGATTTGATAGGGGGCATTCAAGGTATATGGACAAGATGAACAAAGGCTTGGTGGTGGGAAAGTAGGAGTTAGCTTCAGAAAAGATACACTACATATAGGAAAATAGACAAAAATAAGGCTAGTAAGGTAGGTTAGGATTGAATGTCAAGCTGAGGAATCAGTACTTAATTCAAGTAAAGAAGGTTTTCAATCCGAGAAGTGACAAGAAAATCAAACTGACTGCAGTGAGTCAAACAGATTTGTATAGGGAAGGAGTATATACCAAAATATATCACAGTAGTTCAGATAGAAAGATACAGAAGCTAAACTAGGGAACCAGTTAAAGTAGAGTATGTCCCTATCTGTGAGATGAACCCTTTGTATGCACTAAAGGTGAAAACAAGGCTAGCAATAAGAGTCTAAGACTGGGTAGTTAAGAAAATGGTGATTGATGCCATTAATTTAAATACAGAGATGGGAGAAGATGGGGAGATGTTGAGTTTGGTTCTAAACTTTTTAAAAATAAGGCATCACCAGGAATTTCAAGGGGAGGTGTCCAGCTGGGAGCAAAAAATATAGGTAGGGGGCCCTACTGGGATTTGTAGTCCTTTGATTGCTTTACACTAGTTGTGTGCTTTAACAAGACACTCATCTCTGAGCTTCAATTTCTTTATCTGTAACATGGGGATCAAAATACCTCTCCTCATAGTGTTGATACAGATTAAGATGAATAATATCTGAGAAAGCACTGTAAATATAGTTGATGTTATCAAAGACCATTTAAGTGCTTTATATATGTCAAACTATCCTAAGAACTATTCGAGAAAATTTTTTGGATAAAAATTATACTATTGTCGATTCTTTTAGGGAGTGAGGATCTTAAAGATACAATTGTATGCAATCACAGATCCTGACCAGAAGGTGGCAGGAGAAAGATTTAGTCAGAGTTTCCTGAGGAATCCATATAAATGAGTCTTAAATAAAAAGTTCATTTATCTTACCTTTATGTATAATTAGACTTCAAAATAAACGTTCTATAGTTAGCTGCATGGGTCTCTACACAATTATTTATCCACTGACCATATCTATCTCCAATACAGAAAATGGAAAAAAGAAAGGGAGGAAATAATGCAATGACTACTACTATATAGTGAATACCTCTGTGTGCCAGAAACTGCACTCAAGATTTCTATACAGTCTTTCATTTAACACCAGTAAAACCTCATGGGGGTAGATAGTATTATTCCCCATTTTAAAAATGAGGAAATTGAGACTCAAGCTTTTTCAAGAGAAAATAAGCAGTGCCAGGGTTGCAACTGCCGTGAGAAAAAAGTAACATTTGCTTATTTACAAAACTGAGGTACAATCTAAAGAAGACTGCAAAAAACAATGAGCCCAAAGTACAGGGACCTTGAATCAGCTCTCCGGAAAGCCTACATGTTGTTGGTAAAGAGCGAGGTTTTAGGGAAGCAGGGCTGTGGGGTATGAAATCAGACCAACCTGAGAACAAATGCTTCTGAGCAAGAAAAAAGAATCTTCAAATAGCTACAAAATAAAAATTCTAAATAAATTCATTTTGGAATGGCTTAAGTGAAACGTGCAGCTTGGGTGATCCCAAAAGATTGTCCTGCCTAGACAGCTAAAAAGGAACAACCTCCTTTGAGGAGACTAGGGATTTCAGAGTCCCTGCCACAAGGTGGAAAGTAATGGATTTGAGAGTAAGTTATGAATGGCAATGTGCCCTCTAGCCACCACCACGTAACCGCACAGCTTGCCTCTCTGATAACTAAAGCTCCCCAGGGACGAAAGGTGGTACAAGAGCATTGCAAGAATAGAGAACAGATTCACTATTACAGTTAATTATATCACTTGAAAAATCAAGCCCTGGTGAGATGCCAAAATTCAGAGAAACCAAGGAAATGTTTGTATTCATATATGCATAGAAATACACATATGCTTATACAGATAAACAGAATTTTGTCTAATATGAAAAGTACCAAATTATTAAAATTAGCTTCCTCTGCAAAGCAGAACTTGGTATGAGGAGGAACATCTATCCTGTTTTTAACATGTTGAAACAAACATGTACGAGGTCTGCCAATTAAGTTTGTGAACTTGTCACCATGCACTTATATTGGCAGCACCTTATAAACAACTCGATAAGGTTTTATAACCTTGGTATATCAGTGTCTCACAGCTGTGTGTTCATGTCGATGTGTGGCAGTGTCTTGCTGAGTGGTGTTCATTATTTTTGCATATTTTTTTGTGTGCTGTTGTGAGAATGTCAGAGCTTGAAATAGAGTGACAAGCAACATTAAACTTCTTATTAAACTTGGCATGAGTGGAAGTGAAATCAGGGACACGGTGGTCCAAGTTTATGGGGATAATGCCACAAAGAAAATGGTAATGTACAAATAGATTAAATGTTTTTCTGAGGAGGGAGAAAGTGTCACTGATGAAGAGAGGTCAAGATGGCCAGTAATGAGCAGAACTGACAAAAACGTTGCAGACATTCATCAAATTGTGCGTCAAAATTATCGGCTGACTGTGCGAAGCAGAGCAGACCAAATAAGACCACATTGTCAATACAGAGAAACAAGAAAATCTTAACTGAAAATCTTGGCATACGAAAGGCGTGTACAAAAACGGTCCCAAAGGAGCTCTTACATCACAACAACTCACCAGCTCACACAGTACTGTCTGTAAGAGACTTTTTAGCCAGTAAACAAATAACTGTATTGGAACAATCTCCCTACTTACTTATCTGGCCCTCAATGACTTTTTTCTTTACCCGAAGGTAAAGGAAGGTGACCATAATGATATTCAGCAGTGAGGGATGTAGAACTTTTTCTAGGATGAGTTTGCAAACTTAATTATCATACCTCATATATTATTTTAGTATTTTAAAAGTGTTGTTAAAGAGAATAATGACAAGTTTGTGCAAAAAAAAAAAAAAGAAGAAGAAGAATAATCCAGGAAGTTTTTTTTATTATAGATTAGATTTGAAATGATACAGGTCTTGAACAGAATTAATTCATCTATGATGGCTGAAGAAAAACTTCCCTGTGCTAAGAAAATATAAAACATACCCAGTCCCTATACTATGTCACGATGAGCTGTCCAAAGGACAACATCATGGCCATCTTCTCTAGCTAAAGGGAGTGAGGGTCAAAGTGTTCCAGTGCACTTTCTACCTACTCTACTCTGAGACCAGATAGTTTGAAATACAAGTACCACTTGGGGGTTCTTGATGCCAATCTTCCTCTGTTTTCTGCACTCTACTTGCTTTTCTGTACTTGTCCTTTGTGTATTTCTCATGTTTCTTTTTAGCTTCCTTCTATATATTTGTCTCTTTTTTCTTGCCACTCTAAGCATGTTTCAATTTTCCAGAGCTATATTCTGAATTGTAACTTCATAATTCCTGTTATGAAAAGAGGCAAGTCTATAGTGTCAAAAGACTAGAAACTGAATATTGATCCCACCATTACTATCGTATGAATTTAGACAAGTCACTTAAACTCCCTGAGCCTCACTTTCCTCATATGTTAATGGGGGCAGGTGAAATGACATACAATAATAAACATGTGAAAGAACTATGTCAAGTGTTACACAAATGTTATCTGAGTAAATGGATACTATGACAACTTCTATATTGGTGGTTTTCTACTCTGAAAACTGTTCTTTGAAGGAGCTAAAGCTTTCTAAAATGCATGCAATTCAAAACATTTATTTTGGTTATATAGAATATTAAATATACTCTCTAGCAGTCTTAGAAGTCTTATTGATGACTCAGCTTATTAAAAAATGTTTTCTTATGTGGTACAATAATAACAATAACACTTACTTATGAACCAGGCTGCTGTTTGACTATATATATGTATATATGGATATATAGATATATTTTCTTATAATCTAACATCAGCTCTAGAAAATATAAATTATTATTTTTAGTTTGTAACTGAGGCACAAAGAGGTTAAATAAGTTACCCAAAATCAAAAATGTCTGTAGTTCATATTCTTAGCCACTCACATATATATTTCCTGAGAAAAATAAATTTGTTAAAAAGGACACCAACCATAGCCACAAAGTTGGGGACCTGAATTTTTTCCAGTGTTTCTCTGAGTTGATCCATCTCTGCTCGACATTCATCCAGCTGGCATTCTAATTTTTCTCTACGTAATCGTTCATACTCTAGATGGCCCTGCAGTTCTTTGATGGTCCTGTCAAAAAAAATTTTTTTTCAATTAGTCTCCAATGACAACAATTATTTTTGTTAATAGTGGAAAGCATCCATGCATTGTACTTAAGGCAAATAAACCAAAGAAATCATTTATTCAACAAATATGCATTGAGGGTCTACTATGAACCAGCACTGATCTAGGCACTGGTGACACAACAATGAACAAAAGGCCAAGAACTTCCTAGAACTTACCTTAGTAGTGGAGACAGACAGACGGTAAAGAAAACAGACAAGTAAATTATATAGTATGTTGGAAAGTGTTAAGTGCTGAGGGAGAAAAAAACATAAAGCAGGAAAGAAAACATAAAATTTGGAGGAAGGGGTTAACACTTTATACACAGTAACTAGGGAAGGCTTTACTGGGAATGGGGCTTCAGAGCAAACTGCTGAAGGAAATAGAGAGATAACCATGTAGACATTGGAGGAAGAGCATTCCATATAGAGGAAACAAAAAGTGCGAAGGCCCTATGGCAGAAGTATGCATGGCGAAGTACAAGAAAACCAGAGGCCATGTGGTAGAATAGTTTAAAGAATAAAAGAGAGTAGTGTAGGTTAGAAAAGTAACAGATAGCCAGAAGTAGGTCCTTCTTTTGGGAAGCCATTAGAGAAGGCTTTGAGCAGAGAAATGGCATGATTTGATTTGAAGTTTTAATATGATTACTGGATAATGTGCTAAGAACAGAGTATAGGGTAGGGAGCTGGGGGGGGGGGCGCGAGGGGGCAAGGACAGAAAGAGGAGACCCATCAGGAGGATGTTAACAATAATTCAGATGAGATGCTGTCACTGGAACCAGGATTTTTCCTGCCTTATAGCTGGATAATGAGGGAAAATAGAATTCCTAAGGCATGCTGGATTGGATGTTGGGTGCCAAGGAGGGCAATCCAAAGGTATATAGCAGTATTTCTGGTACAGAAGTGAGTGGGGTTAAGACTAGGAATAGGGAAGAATGTCAACTATGAGAGACGATAGCAGTATTTCTGGTACAGAAGTGAGTGGGGTTAAGACTAGGAATAGGGAAGAATGTCAACTATGAGAGACTTAGTTCAGCAACTAAGAAGGGACAATCATCCCCAGGACAGAGTAATACGACTATGTTTTGTTGTATTGTGACTTTGGTCTAACTAATGGATAACAATGACATAAAAAGGACATCCTGCAAATCACTATTTGTCTACTTTTTCTTTATAATTATATCTAAGATCAGGAGTTTGCACCTAAAGAGTAAAAGTGTTAATATGCACTAAACACAAATTGGAGAACAAATGCTAGGGAAGAATTAAAATTCACTAAGGGTGGAACTTAGAAGAAAAACTGTAGTCTCAGCTGATGTGAAAAGCCTAAAGCAATCTTTTAAAAAAAATTCTGCTCAAAAATAACTTATAGCAGTGATATGCCCATTTCATACTGATAGGCTAATCTAACTATTCAAGTAAAAGTTTCTTTAAGGACTATTAAAATCATAATCTTAAGCAGGGCTGGAGTCATAGACTCAGGCTCAAATCCTGGCTTCATCTCCCTCCTTTACTACTTACTCCCTCTGTGACATTACACAAGTTACTTAGCTTTTATATTAAATCTTGGTTTCCTAATCCGTATATTGAGATAATAGCTCACAGAGCTGTGAAGACTGCATGAGATAACATAAGCAAGGGACTTGTCTAGTGTGTAGCATATAGTAGTGTTCAGAAGTAATACAAACAGTAGTGGTAGTATAGTAGTAATCTGCTCTAGAAGAAAAGGAAAGGAAACCAACATTTAAAGATCATTACTAAAAAATAACTGATCCACTATAAAGTGCTTTTCTAGACTACAGGGGATCTAAAAATTTTCTTTCTTTCTTTCTTTCTTTTGAGTTGGAGTCTCACTGATGCCCAGGCTGGAGTGCAGTGGCACGCTCATGGCCACCACAGTCTCAACCTGCTGGGCTCAAGCAGTTCATCAGCCTCAGCCTTCCAAGTAGCTGGAACTACAGGCATGCACCATCACACCCGGCTAATTTTTCTTGATTTATTGTAGAGATGAGGTCTCACCAAGTTGCCCAGGCTGGTCTCGAACCTATGGGCTCAGACAATCCTCTCACCTCGGCCTCCCAAAGTGCTGGGATTATAGGCATGAGCCACCACAACCGGCCTAGATCTAAGAACTTTCAACTGGGCTCTTAGACCAAGGTTAATGCTAAAAATATTCTATATCTCAAAACACTTCAAGAGGTAGTAGACAGCTACCTATATGGTATGATCTTGTGAGATACCAAAATGGCATCAGGCTTAAAAAAAAATTTTTTTTTTTAAATCAATCTGCCACAGCTTCCTAGTGTCTAAAATCATATTAAGAGGGAATGTATTTTGGTCTATGGTTTTGTCTTCTTTTTAAATTTCCAAGTACCCACCCATGGAAGTGTAACACATGAATCTTTACATTATTATTATTATTATTTTAAACCAGAGCCAAGTGTTAGCTCAATCACATTAATCCTTATAAAAGATTTAGATGTTGCTCTGTATACATTTACCAGACCTCTTACTGAGCTAGATTCAGAGGAGGGCAGAGGAAAGGGAAACAGGAGGTAATAAAAGTATAAGGCAAAGAGATACAACCAAAGGAAAGAGCAGAGAAATCAAAGAATGAGGAAGGGGATCCATGTGCATTTCTCTTTTCAGATCTGTGCTTGATTAAACTAGAAATCTCCTCTCCTCTCTCTCTCTGTTCTCTGTCTACTCAGCAAGCAGATAGTCACAGAGGCAGTGGAAGGAAAGAAGCATGAGGCATCCTTTGTTCCAGCAGCCATTAATTATAGTCATCCCTGGGTATTCATGAGGGATTGGTTCTAGGAAACTCCACAGACACCAAAATTCGTGGATGCTCAAGTCCCTTATACAAAATAGTAAAGTACATATTTGCATATAACCTATGCACATCTTTCTATATACTTTAAATCATCTCTAGATTCCTTATAATATCTAATTCAATATAAATGCTATGTAAATATTTGTTATACTGTATTTTTAGGGAATGATGACACTGATTTTTCTTCCTGAATATTTCTGATCCAAGGTTGGTTGAATCCATGGAAGCAAAGCCCACAGTTATGGAGAGCCAACTGTACTAAGACAGGTACCCAATGTCCAGAGAGCCAATTCAGGGTGCAGGAAGTGAAAGGTGAGGACAGCTATGCCTCTGCTCACTGCCTCTAGATGCAAAAGCATTCTCTGATGGAAACCATAGTCAGTGAACAGAGGACTAAGTTTTAGATACCTGCGTGGGCCGTCCAGCCTGAAGATCTGAAGATCTTCAGAGACTGTGTCAGTGTATCAGTTTTTGCAAGATAAGAATAATTCTGGAGATTGGTTACAGAAAGATGTGAATGTGCTTAACATTACTGACCTATACACTTAAAAATGGTTCATATGGTAAATCTTTTGTTATATGTATTTTACGACAATTTTAAAAAGAAATCTTAAGTCCTTCTCCATCCGGGGGCTTAGGAGGAAAACATGATGTAACTTAACACCCTTTGGCAGGATGAAGGGACAAGTTTTGTGCTGAACAACAAACCCTCACATGGCATTTAGAAAGGTAACTAAAAACAAATCATTAAAGTTTTAAAGGATATTACTTTTGAGACTCGAGTCGTTCTTTCTTCTGCTTTAAATCTTCCTCTGTTATCCCTCCCAAGTGTTTATAGTTGCTCTCAGCAATATCCAGAAGGTGTCGCAATTCTACAATTTTCTTGTAAGCTCGCACTGCAAGACAAGAATTTAATAGGAGCCTACTTTAGGCAGGTAACAGCTCATGTGTTCACAAGGTCCTGGTCCTCTCACATATTCTTCCTCTAGAGCCAGTGTCTGTGTGGTTTGGGAAGGCGGATGGAGGGATAGTGGCATATAAATATTATCCTTCTAGTAACGGAATATTAGGATGAACACACAATGAAATACTAAATGGATGACTGTTTCTCTGCTACTGGAACATGGATTAGATTGTTACAACTGTTAATGATATGAATAAGCATGTTTAAGGAAGACTAGCAGTATTTTAAGGACTAGTGGTAGGTTATAGAGTCTCAGATTTGTTAGACCATGCTTAATTTACTCTATGTTAGATAATTAGAAAAATGGATATATGCTTAATTTAAAATAAACCAGAACTAATCCAGCCCCAAATGTCATGTGATTAGTCACTTGTAATATGTATACAAGAGGATACTGAAAAAAGAAGTGTTGAGAGCTATTTTAGCTATTCTCCAACTATCAGAACCATGATCTGTCCCTCCTTTATGTCAGTGTTTTTCAACCTGGGGTGATTTTCTTCCCCAAAGGTCATCTGGCAACATCTGGAGACATTTTGGCTTGTTGCAACTTGGGAGTGGAAAGGGGGGTTGCTACCTGCATCTAGTGGGCAGAAGCTCAGGATGCTACTAAATCTGTTACAATGCACAGAAGAGCCCACCTCAACAAAAATAATTATCTAGTCCAAATTGTCATGAATACAGAAGTGGAGAAATTTTGTTTTACAGAACTAGTTTAGCAAATCACACCCTCTTCTTCCCTGATTTATCTATCAACAGGTCAGAACTGCAGGTTCCAAACTGCATATACCAGAATCAACTGGGGCACCCTTTAAAAATATGCATGCTTGAGCACCACTCCAGATCTACAAATTCAGGGGTCTGTACTTATAAAGCACCTCAGACTATTCTGAAGGACAGACAGGTTTGAGAATTGCCATAACCACTAGCAAGCAGGAAGGTAGAGGGATTAAATGTCAGAAAAAGATTGAAAGAGCAATGGGTATTTAGCTTGTGTAATAATTTCTTTAATATTTGAAAGGCTGTTTTGAAAAGACCTGTCCTACAGGGTCCTCAGACAGAAGTAAGAGCTAGGATTAATTGGAATTAGCTCCTGGAAAAGAGACTCCAACTCAACAAAGAAATTTTCCAACAAAAACAATTAAAAACTATCATGCATTTATGGAGTGCCTATGCTGTGCAAAACACTACATTAAGTAGTCTGTCAATGATGGAAATGACTTCCCAGGGCAATAAGTGCTTTGTCACTAAAGGTGACTGAGTGGAGGTTAGATGACATGTGAAAGGAATGCTGAGCTAGCAGTTAAACCTCAAATGGTTACTGGGTTCTGCAATGCCATGGTCCTAAATGTAATTCACTAAAACATGCTCTGAATTGAGGCTCGGTTCCAGAAAGTCTGGAAAGACAAGAAATCCAACCAGTTCCTTGTAGGTGCTCTGGCAAAACTTAGTGTTCCAAGAAGTGGCCATCTAGTCCTTTAGGTTTTACCATGGAATAAAATTAAACAAGTATAATAAAACAGCACATGACTTCAAATTTAGTATCCCTTCACTAGCTGTGAGCACCCCAGCTGACTGCATGGCAAGGGTGCTGAGAGTTCATATGTGTATCAAGCACACCACAACAAAAATTCTTCTTGCCATGGTTTTGGTCCCTTCTGAAACAACTTTTTGAAGTGTCTTGATTGCCTAACATTGATTCTTTCCCAAATATCTCTTAATCAAATAATTTCAGAAGAAACTGAAGTCCTACAATTAACTGCTCATTTCCTATAGTCTTTGTAGTTTTCTGCACTCTTTGCTAATTATTTATGAAATCAACAACAACAACAAAATCTAAGGTCAAGTGCAGTGGCTCATGCCTGTAATCTCCTCAACACTTTGGGAGGCTAAGGTGGGAAAATTGCTTAAGCTCAGGAGTTTGAGATCAGCCTAGGCAACATAGCAAGCCTCATCTCTACAAAACATAACAAATTAGCCAGGTGTGGTAGCACACACCTGTAGTTTCATCTACTCAGATGGATAAGATGAAAGGATTGCCTGAGCCTGGAAGGTCAAGCCTGTGGTGAGCCGTGACCATGCCACTGCACTCTAGCCTGGGCAATAGAGTGAGATCCTGACTCAAAAAAAAAAAAAAGAAATATAAGCATAAGCAACAAAATAAAAAGTAGATAAACTGGACTTCACCAAAGTTTAAAACTGTTATGTATCAACAACACTATTAAGAAAGTTGAAGCGAGGTGCAATGGCTCACGCGTAATCCCAGCACTTTGGGAGGTGGAAGTGAAAGGATTGCCTGAGCCCACGGGTTCAAGATCAGACTGATCAACATGGTAAGACCTCATCTCTACAATAAGTAAAAAAATTAGTCAGGTGTGATAGCACATGCCTGCAGTTCCACCTACTTGGAAGGTTGAAGCAGAAGGATTGCCTGAGCCCAACAGGTCAAGGCTGTGGTGGCCGTGAATGTGGCACTGCACCCCATTCTGGGTGACAGAGTGAAACTCTGACTCAAAAAAAAAAAAAAGTTGAAAGACAACCAATAGAATGGGAGAGAACATTTGCAAATCATGTATCTGAAAAGGGACTTATATCCAGAAGTACTTTTACAACTCAGTAATAACTCAGTTGAAAAACAGGAAAAGGATTTGAGTAGACTTTTTCTCAAAAGTAGTCAGTAAGCACACAAAAAGATAGTCAACATCATTAATCATTAGAGAGACACCAATCAAAACTACAATGAGATTCCACATCATGATACCCACTAAAAAGGCTATAATTAATAAGACAAAACAACAACAAATGTTGGTAAGGATGTGGAAAAATTTTAACACTCATACATTGCTGACAGGAATATAGGATGGTGCAGCCACTTTGGAAAATAGTTTGGCAGTTCCTAAGAATGTTGAACAGAGTTTCCAGATGACCCAGAAATTCCACTCTTATATATGTATATACCCAAGAGAAATGAGACATGAATGTTTATAGTAGCATTATTCACAATAGTCAAAATATGGAAACAACTCAAGTGTCCATCAGCTGATGAATATAAATATAAATATAAATCAGTTGATGAATATAAATATAAATATATTATAAGAATAGATACCAGACAGCTTATTCACTCTTTCTACTATGGGAAGACATGGATCTATCAAAGTCAGAAAGAGAGCCCTCACCAGAAACCAATCCCACCAAGCTTTGATCTGAGACTTCTAGCCTCCAGAATTGGAGAAAATAAATTTCTGTTGTTTAAGCCACTCAGCCTACAGAATTTTATTATGGCAGCCCAAGCAAACTAAGACATCATTCAGTGGAATAAGATTGTCCTTCAGGTGGTAATCATGAAAAGGAAATCTTTGGCATGTCTCCTAATGCAATGAGTATGGAAGGAAAAAAAAGGATGATTAAAAACTATTTTAGAAAATTCCACTAGCAAATATGGTAGCTTATTAATCTTGCTTTTATGAATCTCACAGGGCAGATGATCAACACTTTCATAACTTTTAAAAAAAATTCATAAATCAGGTCTGTTAAGAAACAAGAAAATATACAGAAATGATTTATCTGTTTACCAATGTAACCCTAGAACTAGAACAATGCCTGACACATAACAGATAATACATATATGATATGACATGAGAATGACATGAGAGAAAGAAGAACTGATAAAGTACAATTTCATTGACTAATTTTAGTACTACATCGAACAGACTCAGATTGTTTTCTGAATTCCAGAAAGCAGTACTATTTCTAAAGCACTGCCACAGCCCTTAGCCTGGGGCCATGCACACAGTACATATTCAAATACTATGTGTTGGATGAATGGAGTGCCTTCCTTATTCATTTTGCCTACCTTAATCCTGGCCATTCTTCACAAGTCAAATTCTACTTCTGAAAAGTCTTTATTACTCATTTATCTGTAGTAAATAGTCCTTTTAAACTCACCACCACTCATCTCATTGCCCTGACCAGGAATCTATCATCCTTGATTATCTTTGTTCTCTAACACTTCATATCCAAATCTATCAGCAAATTCTATCATTTTTCTCTTCTGAATACACCCAATCTTACCATTTCTCGTCATTACTTCACTCTAGTCCAAGCTATAATCAACTCTTTCCTGATCTAAGGTCACAGCCCTCTAACTGATTTCCCTCCTTCCACTCTTGCCCTATGAAGGAAAATGGGCTTACCACAACACTGGAAATCTGGAGGGAAAACCATTCAAGGCTAACTGGATCTCCCACCATTCCCTAGATAAAGTATGGTCTTACTGATGCTGAGTTTGCTTTAAGAACCAGGAAATATATATAAATATTACCTTAAAGAGAAATGCTTAAATTGTTAATGTAAGCTATTCTGAAGCCTGATAAAAGCTTCTAGTATAAAAAGGCTGAAACAAAACAAGAATGAAGATTTCCAATATCACTGGTAGTTTTAGGTCTATACCAGGGACTCTAGGAGTCTGGGAAATCTGTGCAGATATTCTGCATCTGCTCTTGTATAATTCAAATTGCACATTCTTGACAATTTAAAACTGTATCAGGAAATTCATCCAACTTTATATTGTTAGATATGTTCTTTCCCCCCATAATTCATAATCCACCTGAAATGTTGTGGTCTTCCCCACTCTCCACTCTATTAATTACCAAAAGCTACAGTGATATTGGTTTTAAACTTGAATCAGATCACATCATTCCCCACCCTAAACCCCACCAGTGACTTTCTACTTAAAATAAAATCTAAATCTAAAATCCTTGTTAGGCCCTGTATTATCAGATTGGGCCCCTGCTTACCTCGCCAACCTCATCTGTTACCATTTCCTTAGGGAGTCTACTCCAGACACACTGACCATGCTCAATTCCACCTCATGGCCTTCACATGCACTGCTCCCTCTGCTTGGAATGTTCTTCCAAGATTTTCATATGACTCACTCTCACCCTTCAGGTCTCTCCTCAAATGTCAACACTTCAGAGAAGCCTAATGGTTATCTGATCTATAACAGCACCCTACTTTATTTTCTTTATGTATCTATTTTCTTATCATTCTCCCCCTTGACCATCAGCAGCAGCAGAACATAAGTTTCTTTTGTATCATTCAGTTGCTCAATAACTACAAAAGTGTCTGGCACATAGTAGACAAAAAATATTTGTTGCTATTAGTATCTGTAAAAATAATCTGCCAACTAACCATGGAAATCCTTGAGGTATCTCTTTCTCTATTTCCTATGATTCACTTTTTTTGCTCTTATATAACTTTCCCCCCTTGAGGGACAGAGAGTATGTCTTACATTTTTTTATATGTTCAACAGCCCACTACAAAAATTTGTATTAGTTCTGGACCCCCTAAAAATATCAAATTATTTTACCTTGTAGATAGTGTTTGTCTTTGAGTAACTTCTAAATTTGTGGTTAAAAGTAGCTACGATATTTCTGAAAAGAAAGATTTCAACAAGGGAAGCATACTTACTCCTGGAATCCGTTTTATCCAACTCGCTCAGACATAAATCATCCTTGGCATCAGTGCTTCCCTCAACACCATGTCTTATAAAACATTTCATGTCATTTTCATCAATTTCATTGTCATCATCAATATCGTATTTCTGTAGCCCCTCTAATAGCTTCACTGCTGCCAAATGGGCAAACCTGTAGAAAAGAAATCAATAACTAAGAAGATTCACAAGTTTCTTCAAATTGAAACTGCAGCTTGCCTTAACTCAGGAAGTTTTACTCTCTACACTCTGTCACCAACCCAGCCACCAGCCAAGGAGCAAACTCTATCTGACTTTAAATTGTCAGTGACAATTTAACACATATTCAGTTATGTGGGAAACTCATTTACTTGACACTAAAGACTAATATTAAAGACTAATTCCATAATTTTTATTGGCAAAAATATACTGGGGATGGAGATCCAATATCAAAAGAATATTTTGTGTGCTCCCAAACAGAGCTGCTCAACTGAGTAGAAGGCCCAGATCACCCTACTTGATTACCTGTCTTATTGCCTTTTCTTGGCCCAACTTAGATTGCAGGCTTTGTTCTGGTTCCAGTTTTAGGGCTAATTATAGCTCTAGTCCTCTCAATCTCCATCGTTCCTCAACCTTAAGCATATAGCATGGCTTTGAAAGTTAAGAAGAAAATTACCTTTCCCTCCATGTTTTCTATTCTTTTTTGTTCTTTCCTATATCTCTATGAAGATTCTAGTAATATACTCTTCGTTTTGGAGTAGTTGTGGTTGTTGTGACTGTATGTAATTTGCATATCTTCCCACAATCTACTAATTCCATTTTCCCATACTTACATAACCAAACACAAACATACACCTATCCTTATCTTTTTTACCAGGTACTGCAAATCATTAAAGACATTTTATTAAACATACATAGGAAATTCTAAAGTTTAGGAATTCATTATCTCCACTACTGGGTTGTAATTTAATAGCTGTCATTGAGTGCTTGCTTTATGTTAGATTCAAATTATTTCTGTAATAACACCACACTCAGCACCTAGCATTATGCTACATGAGGAAAAAATGTGGACCAGAGATTACGAATAACTCTAAGTACACCCATGGTACTCAGTCACCATGTGCGCGATTGGTGTAAAAATAGACAAACAGATGAATGGACAAAACAGATAGTTCAGAAATAAACCCACATATATATGGACAACTGATTTTGACAAAGGCACAAAAGGCAGTGGAGAAAGGATAGCCTTAAGTGTTCTTTATCAAAGAAAATATCCAGATGACAAGTATATAACATATATATAAAAAACTGCTCAAAATCATTTTTAATTAGACAAATGCAAATTAAAACCACAATGAAGATAACACTACATACCTATTTAATTACTAAAAATAAAAAAATCTGACAATACCAAATGCGGGTGAAAATGAACAAGAAAAATATGTACTCCTTGCTGGTAAGACTGGATATTTATACAGCCAGTTTGGAAGGTACTTTGGCAATTTCTTATAAAGTTAAACATACACTTAGCATCTGGCCCACCAATGCTACTCCTAGATTTGCCCAAGGAATTACAAACTTATAATGACACAAAAATCTGTACATGAATGTTTATAGCAGCTTTATTCATAATCACCAAAAAATAGATAAAATCAAGATGTCCTTCAACAGCTGAGTGGACAACTGAACTATAGAATACTATGGAATTCTACATACAATGGAACAGGGCTCATCAATAAGAAGGAAATGAACTGCTAATACACGTAGATAAATCTCAAAAAAATTATGATGAGCAAAAGAAGCCAGATATAAGTACGCATTGTATGATTCCACTGTATAAAACTCTAGAAGATGCAAACTAATCTATAGTGACAAAAAGCAGATCAGTGTTTGCTTAGGGAAGGGACACTGGGAAGCAGAGAAAGGGAAAGAAATTATAAAGTCACAGAAGACATGTGGGGTGATACGTTCACTGTTTTGATTGTGATGATTGATGGTTTCTACAGGTATACACATATCAAAACTCATCAGTTTTAATGTACAAATATGTGCATTTTACTATATGTCAATTATATCTTAATAAGGCTGTTTAAAAAAAATCGGTCTGAGTTGGTAATGATCCCAGGTACAAGGTACAACAAAACTACACTCCAAGTTATCAGAGAAATCCTACAGGCAGCTGGGTGGGGTGGCTCATGTCTATAATCTCAGCACTTTGGGCGTGGTGCCATATACCTGCAGTCCCAGCTACTTGGGAGGCTGAGACAGAGAGATCACCAGAACCCAGCAGGTAGAGGCTGTGATGAGTGAAATCATGCCACTACACTGCAGCCAGGAGACAGAGTGAGACTCCGACTCTATTAAAAAAAAAAAAACCCACAGACAAGATTTTAAGGAACATAAGCTCACAAACAGATGTTCACGGCAATTTAGCAAATGATTGGGCCCTAGAATCCTGTCACGCCTCATCTGCCATTGTTAACCTACACTTTAAATTTAAACCATTCTAAACAACATGCAGTTCCTCAACATACAAAGTGTTATCTTACAACACCTATTCCTTCAAGGGTCAGCATAAATGTTGCTTCTTCCCCCTCAAAAAAAAAGTTTTCTCTGATTTTCACCTAAACTGTCTTCCTGCAGTTTTCTTTATGATTTTTACCATTATCTGTATTGTTTCTCCCTCACAACTTCCATTTTTATTTTTATTTTTTTTATTTTAAAGATGTGAGGTACAATTCAGGATTAGGTATATAAATGGTCCTCATACAAGAAAAGTTTAGACCTCCCTTTGGTCCTACTTCCCTCACAACTTTTTTTTTTTTTGAGTTGGAGTCTCACTCTGTCACCCAGACTGGAGTGCAGTAGCACGCTCCTGGCCACCGCAGCCTCAACCCGCTGGGCTCCAGTGATCCTTCCACCTCAGCCTTCCGAGTAGCCGGAATTACAGGCACACGCTATCATGCCCAGCTGATTTTTTTTTTTTATTTATTGTAGAGATGAGGTCGCACCAAGTTGCCCGGGCGGGTCTTGAACCCGTGGGCTCAGGCAATCCACTCACCTCGGCCTCCCAAAGCGCTGGGATTACAGACTGAACCACCGAGCCCAGCCCACAACTTTCAAACAGGAAGTCTTGGGCACTTTTTCTCCTATGTTCTTAATGTTCCTTACACATACTAAGTAATATGGTATACTGATTAGAAGTCACAAGAATTTTACTTGCGTATTTGTCCCTCCACAAGACTGTAAACTCCTTGAGGGCAGAAACTGTGTTTTTTCATCTTTGTAATTCTAATGCTAACTGTGGTACTTGGAACATGGTAAGTATAGGAGTACAGGAAGCTGAATGAAAGAACAACCAAATGAGCAAATGGATGCACTACATATACCTGAGAACCTGAACTAAACGAGCTGGTAGTGTTTAATAATAGGTGCTACACTTAATTCAAATATAACTATCAGGCTGGGGGCAGTGGCTTATGCCTGTAATCCCAGCACTTTGGGAAGTGGAGGCAAGAGGATTGCCTGAACCCAGGGGTTCAAGACCAGCCTGGGCAATTTGGCAAGATCTCGTCTCTACAATAAATAAAAAAAAAAATTAGCCAGGTGTGGTGGCACACACCTGTGGGTTCAGTTACTTGGAAGGCTGAGGTGGAAGGATGGCCTGAGCTCAGCAGATCGAGGGTGTAGTAGTCATGAGCTTGCCACTGCACTCCAGCCTGGGTGACAGAGTGAGACTACAACTCAATACATACATACATACATACATATATAGGTAATATATGAGGGAGACCCAAACAAAAACAAATATAAATGCCAAAATATGTTTCAAAACCCATGTGATTTATTTTTCTATTATTGACTGATGTTGACCATATCTTTTTATCACACAGTGTTTCTCAAAGGGTGCTACAGGCATTTGAGTAAGGCAATTCACTGTGCATCACTGTTCTGAGCACTGCTGAATGTTTATTATCATTGCTAAACCTGACCACATTAAATGTTAGTGATGGTCTCCAATCACAGTAAAAATCTTCCCCCACATTTCCAAATATCCCTCCCTCCAGTAAAGAGGACAATACTACCGCCAAGTTCAGAATCACTGCTTTAGAGAGAAGAGCTGATATAATGTCAAATTCAGCTAGAAAATTATCATCAATCTGCATTTAATTGAGTCCTCTTAAAATTCCATTAAATCCTTAGAAATTTCTGAGTACAAGAGAGTATATATAATGCTTTAAAAACAAAAGAAAGGAGCAAAGCAGACAAGGATCTATACCTCTTAGCCACGTCACTGGGTCTCTCCCCTGCATTGTTGGTAATATTACCGTCCGCTCCCATTTTAATTAACCACTGTAAACACTCTATGTGGCCTTGACCAGCAGCTGTTAAAAGAAAAGGAAATGTACAAAATAAGAATGGTTAGTAGTAACAATTTTCTAAAATTTTGGACAGTATCATTATAGAGTACTTTCTTAAGTACTGATCCTTGCATTAACTACTAAAAATAGGTTAGGCAAATGTTATATTATCTATTTCATTCATTATACAAAACATTTATTCACTCATTACACAAACATTTAATCAAACATCTACTGTGCTCAGGCCCTATACAGAGAGTTTTATATACAGATATAAAAATTGAAGCTCAAAGAGGTTATTTATTTAACATCACACAGCTAGTAAGAAATGAATTTGAAACTAGAATCTAGCCACTGCTTTCCTCCAGCAATAAATACCTCCTAACCACTCTTGTGTCACACCAGAACATGAGAACATTCCAACCATAGGGACCTACAGAGACTGAAAATCTTGCTTCATTATCCTCTGAATCTAACACTCAAAATGTTTACACCTCTTAAGCCACACATGATTACCTAAACTGTTTACTTCCTATGTCTAAATCTTCTCCTCAAGACACATGCTCTCTTTATTATTTTCTACCTCCACAACTCAGTTATCTTGTCTTCCTTCCCACCTAAAACCCTTCATTCAACTACATGCTCATTTAACTTCTATTCTTCTTAGTACATTTTGAAACTCTGGGACACTGTGAAAAACAAACTGAATAGACTTAAAACAGCTGCGTTTAAGTCTACTAAATAATATTACTTGAGGTTAGGATTGTAATCTTCATTTCCCCAGAACATAGCAAGTGGCTAGAACATACAGATCCTGAATTAATGTCTATAGAGTTAATGAGTACTGTACTGTAGACAGAATGAGATCCAGACTTTACTGTTGGAGTTAATGAGTGAATGAATGCATAAAAAAAATTGAATGAAGGCTTAGCTTTGCTCTTACTAGCTGTATAAGCTCAGTCAAGCCACCTGACCTCTCTGAACCTCAATTTCCTAATCTTTTATATAGATGGGTTTTTTTATTTATAAGAAAAGCACACTGCCACTTCATAAAATTACAGTAAGGACTAAATGTGTAAGAGTTTTGCACTCTGTGAAGTGCACATAAACATCAGGTATTACAACTAAACCTCATGAACAGTTCCTCAATAATCTTAGCAAAATAATCTTAGATTCTTAGCAAATTCTTCCATCCTTCAATTCTTATTCCTGAATTCCTATCACATGTATTTTAAAAATCAAAATTTTTTTTGCCATTAATTACATTCTGTCTTTTAAAAAAATGTCTAGTTGTTTCATGGCTAAGTATGTCGCTCCTTAACAGTAAAGTCTGGATCTCATTCTGTCTACAATACAGGCACATGGCACATGGTTGGTGCTGAATAGATACATGACTCTGCAAAATGAATTAAAAAATAGGAACTTTTGGTATGAATTTGAAGTTAACCCACCTGCAATAAGCAGACATTGGACACTGCTAGGGAAGGAAGGGAGGGAGGAGGGAGGGGAACATGTGATAACATACTGAGTACCTGGTTCACAATCACAGGGAGAGAGGGCCAGCTAGAAGCCCAAACTTCACCTGCATGTAACCTACTTATGTAGTAAATCCTACAACTGTGTAGTGTACTTCATAATTCTAAAACTTAAAAAATAAAAAACAAAAAAATACAAATTAAATTAAAAAGTTAACCTACTTCCAAATACTGGCAACAGAGAGGAGAGGACACAGAGCCATATCAAATGACTAAACAACCCGATCACTTCAGCACAGCTGGCAAAGGTCTGTAAGAACTCTTGTTCTGTCCTTTTCTGCTTGACTCAGAGCCATTTGCTAAACTCCTCATGGGCTCCTGCCTATCCAGGACCAACTATCAAAGAAACTACAAGGATTCCCAGACCTTTACACAAATAACCCCATTTTAGACAAAAAAACAGCGATATGATCTGTCTTTTCTGTCATTAAGAATCATAAAATCATATTTATGATCATAGATAATGGTGAGTTTTATAATACAGAATGAGTTTAGTCCAATATTTCCATTTTATCACACAGGTAATGTTTTAAAAAAGGAGAGAAGGAAGCTAAATCAATGAAATATAATAAGAGAATTTTTATTCATCATTCTTATTGAATATTTATTAGAACATGTTGATCAATTTAATCAATGTTTTATAAGAGAGTAAGATAAAATTATACGGTGGTTAGAAACTTAAGAAATGACTTGAAAGAATTATAGTTTAAGAGCAAATGAAAAAAAGGGAAGTCATAGTGGATTTAAACAATTATTAAATGACTAAGAAGAATGCCTCAGTAACAGATACTGCAGCTTATCTACTGAAGAGAAATTAAAACTAAAGGAAAAAAGCAGATAGATTGACAAAATGTGGGAAATGTTAATTGAACTACAAGGAGATATTAACTTTTTATGCCCAATTTGAGTACAATCTAAGTATAAGAATGGTCCCCAGGAAAAGGTCCACAAGTACCCTTTTCCAGCTGTAGCCACTTATCATTCCTCTGCCACACCTTCTGAGCCATCCCTGTTGCTAGCAGTCCTTGGTGGGCAGACTCACAACAGAGAGGGTGAAGGGGAAATTATTCTGTCTCCTCTTCACTTTCACTCTCCCACCTTCTAACAATGGCTACATTACAAATACCCTATTGTTGTAGGTCAATATCTACAGACCCTGCTTCCAGATCCCTCATCTCTCAGTTCAAGTGGTGACAAACTGGTTGAGAAAATGCCCTTTCCCATGGCTGAAAACTAGCCATTAATGAAACTTAATTTACTGCTCCCATAAAGATGCACTATGGGCACCCCCCCAAAACACACACATTAGCAATAAAAATCAATGATCTCTAGATTATGAAATGGAGGGCTATAATGGATATGTTAGGGGCTAAACTGTGTTCCCCTCAAAATTCATATGTTGAAATCCTAACCTCTAGTACCTCAGAATGTGGCTGTATGTAGAGACAGAGGGTAATTAAGGTAAAATGAGATCATATGGTTAGGTCCTAATTCACTTTAAGTGATGTCCTTCTAAGAAGAGATTAGGACACACACAGTCATGCACAGAAGAGAGATCATGTGAGGGCATAGTGAGAAGGCACCCATCTATAAGCCAAGGAGAGAAACCACAAAAGAAACTAAACCCAATGCTACCTTGATCTCAGACTTCTAGCTTCCAGAATTGTAAGAAAATAAATTTCTGTTGTTTAAGGCCCCCAAATTGTGGTATTTTGTTATATCTGCCCTCATAAACTAATACAGGGGCTTTGCTCCAAGGAACCACACTTAAAAAAAATTTTTTTTAAGTGTACATGTTAAGATTCTTCCCTATCCACAAATCCCATAGCAGACAACTGAACGCCTGGATGGTCAACAGAGTGAGATATTCCGAGCATGCACCAATCTGGGGAACCTCTTTCTTTATGTGTAGGAGAAAACTCACTTAGCATTCCTCCTCTTTCTACTTCCCTTCTCTTATGGTGCTTAGATGCTATACTTTGAGATACATTATGGATTAAACAAAGTTTAATAAGTTAAAAACCTAACCAATGGGAACATATTATCTGGGGACTGCCATAAGTTACTTATGAATTAAAGTCCAATTGAAATTTATTATCATTATTATTATTCTTATATAAGCCTACTATCTTTTTCTTTTCATTTCATTTAAAAAAATTATTATTACATATTATTTTTGAGACAGGATCTCACTCTGTTGCCCAGGCTGGTCTTGAACTACTAGACTCATATGATCCTCCCACCTCAGACTGCCAAAATACTGGAATTACAGGTATAAGTCACCAGATCCAGCCAAGCCTCCTATCTTTTTACTCTAAGAGTTTTATAAGAATCACCTACGATCAGATCATGAAAAAACTTTCATAATATCACAAAAAAAACAGAATAGAGATTTCAGATATAGTAGGTTAAAGATTGTTTTTTGGTTTTATAAGTAAAAGGAAGACTGGCAAGCATAATTCCTAGAATCTAAACACTAAGTCGATAATTTGACAAAGTCTGATTAAAAACCAAATACACTGATCAATATTATAGAATTATACATGGAAGGAAAGAGAATGCAGAGAAAAGTGGCATATATCATAAAAATGTGTTCAAATTGAATGCTCTTTGATATTTCTATGTAAAAAACATTTTTGCAGTACAGAAGATCTAAAAAAAATTCTGTTGCAACTTTTTTCAAGAGATATTGTTTGTTTTAGTATGAATAGGTATTTTTAAAATGTTATCCTAAAAAACTTCTCTAGCAATATATTTCATATTTTCACTAACATGACAATGTCACAACAGAAATTGTATTGCAATTACCCTCAAATGTTATAATGCGTGACTATCTGGCATCATAAAAGGTATATTACACTTAATTGAAAAATAGGCATTTGTTATATCATGTAATGCAGACTGATATCCACTAGGGCATCAGAAAAAACCTTTATGCTTCATGTGTTTTCGATACATAATTACTTTAAAAATGAATAACTCAACAGCAATTGCATCAGAACTAAAAATGAAGCCAGACTCATAATAACTCACCTTTATGCATAGGAGTTGATCCATTATCGGCACGCTCATTAATATTGATTACTCCATCTTCTACTAATTTCTTAAGCATTTCCAAATCACCCTTAAAGGCAGCAACATGACCTGGAAATGCTAAAGCTATAAATAAAAATTCAGCATTTCAGTAAACACATGAGTTTATTCTTTTCCCTGCCTTAAGCGGTCATATTTCAGATGTCAACATTACCTCAAGTATGAGCCTGTTATACCGGAAAGAGTTCAGCTGATAACAAGCAATAAAAAGAGGATTACAGGCCGGGCTTGGTGGCTCAGTCTGTAATCCAGCGCTTTGGGAGGCCGAGGTGAGTTGATTGCCTGAGCCCGCGGGTTCAAGACCCACCTGGGCAACTTGGCGAGACCTCATCTCTACAATAAATCAAAAATTAGTCGGGCGTGGTAGCGCATGCCTGTAATTCCAGCTACTCGGAAGGCTGAGGTGGAAGGATCGCGAGAGACCAGCAGGTCGAGGCTGCAGTGGCTGGGAGCGGCCACTGCACTCCAGTCTGGGTAACAGAGTGAGATTCCAACTCAAAAAAAAAGAAAAGAAAAATAAAACAGAGAGAGAATCATAAACTAAGATTATTACTAATTGTTCTAAACAATTAGTAATAATTAGTGTTTTTTAGGATAACACAGCTTTGTACCAGAACTATTCTTAGCTGTATTCTCTTCCCCCTCCCATGCCTCCACAAAACACAAGGGGATGAACATTTTCAACCCTTTATGTGAAGACACACTTGGTGTCAAGAACTGCATTTTCACAGACTACTCCCTCTCGGCTTGCAAGGAAGTAAAGATAACAAAATATACTAGAGCCGGGCTCGGTGGCTCAGCCTGTAATCCCGCGCCTTTGGGAGGCTGAGGTGAGTGGATTGCCTGAGCCCACGGGTTTGAGACCTGCCTGGGCAGCGAGACCTCATCTCTACAATAAATCAAAAAAAAATCTGCTGGGCGTGGTAGCACATGCCTGTAATTCTGGCTACTTGGAAGGCTGAGGCGGAAGGATCACTGGAGCCCAGCAGGTCGAGGCTGCGGTGGGCAGGAGCAGCCACTGCACTCCAGTCTGGGCGACAGAGTGAGACTCCAACTCTAATATATATATATTAGAAACAGATAAGAAGAGTGTGTGTGCAGGCACATATACAGTCATCCCTTGGTAATCTCAACGAACTGGTTCAAGGACCCCCAAGATACCAAAATCTGTGGATGCTCAAGTTTCTTATATAAAATTGTATAATATATGCACATAACCTATTACATCTTCCCATATACTTTAAACTATCTCTAGATTACTTATAATATCTAATACAATATAAATGCTATGTAAATAGTTATCATACTGTATTTTTTTAATTTGTAGTATTTTTATTGTTGTAATTTTTTTATTGTTCTTTTCCTCCAAATATTTTCCATTGTAGTTGATTAAATCTGCAGATATGGAACCATTTTTGGAGGACTGACCAAATATAATATATATGTACACACACACACACACGAAAGTACTTTACCTGGTGCCTAGTACATAGCAGATGCTTGATAAAATGTCTTTAATAACTACATATATATTGAGCCCTTACTAAATGCTAGGCACAGTAGTAAGCTCATAAGAACAGCCCCATTTAACCCTTGTAACAAATCTAAGTTATAGTTATTCTCATTTTTATATATGGAAAGAAACAACCTAGAAGAACCAAAGAATACTTTTAAAAGAACAAAGCTGAAAGACTTAAACAATCTCATTTTAAGACTTACTATAAGGCCTCAGTAATCAAGGCAGTATAGAAATGGAAAACTGACATATAGAGCAGTGAGATAAAAAACAAAGGCCAGCAAGAATAGATACACACATTTAAGTCAACTGGTTTTTGACAAAGTTCCCAAGACATTTCAATTAGTAAAGGGGAGCCTTTCCCCAAAATGGTGCTGGAACAACAACATGTAAAAAAAATCTTTTTAATTTTAAATTCAACAGCATATACAAAACTTAATTCAATATAGGTCAAATATCTAAATGAAAAATTTTAAACTATAAAATTTCCAGAAGAAAACACAGGAGAATATCTTGCTTGGAATAAGCAAATGATTCCTAAATAGGACTAAAAATACCACCCTTAAAAAAAATTGCACTTCACCAAAATTTAAAACTTTTGCTCTTTATAAGACACTGCTCAAAAAGCAAAAAGGCAAGCTTCTGAATAAGAGAAAATGTCTAAATGCATCAAATTGCACACTTTAAATAATGCAGTTTATTATAAGTAAATTATACACTAATAAATATAATTTTTAAGGATAACACAAAGTGAAAAAACAAACTTCATTTGAGGGAATATATCTGTATTAGATAAAATCAATAAATGATTAGTATCAAGAATATGAAGAGAACTTACAAAAAATTATTTAGGAAAGGTTAAAAAACAATTTTTAAAAGGGAAGAAGAGACAGGCAATTAATAGAAAACTAGACTCGTCAATAACTTTATAAAAAGATATTCAACCACATTAGTAATCAAGAAAATGCAAATCAAAATACAAATTAAACCTTTCATACCCAACCAAAGTTTTAGAGTCTAACAATACTGAATATTGTGTTTCTCTAAAACCTCACTCAATATTGCTGATGGAAATAAATTTCTACAATCACTTGGATGAAAAATTAGCAATTCCTTTGATAACTGAATATGGGCACATCCCACCAAGTAAAACCTAAAGTAGAATTTTCCAACTATTTATTAAGGTACTTTGTTACTAATAAAGCTGAATTCTTTAATTCTGAGTCTTCAGAGAAGATAGGCAGAACCTTAAGAAGTCTCATCCTATGATCCTAGTGTGTCACACAAAAATTAGCATTTTCTAAATCAGCTACATGTGAAAAAGACAGGGAAGCACTTCTTTAAAGAAATTATTTGGCTGGGTGTGGTGGCTTACACCTGTAATCTCAGCACTTAGGGAGGCCAAGGCAGGAGCATTGCTTGAGCCCAGGACCTTGAGATCAGTCTGGACACCACAGCAAGACCCTGTCTCTAAAAAAAAAAAAAAAAAAAAATTAGCTGGGTGTGATGGCACAGGCCTGTAGCCCCACCTACTTGGGAGGCTGAGGTAAAATGATTTCTTGAGTCCAGGAGTTCAAGGTTGCAGTGAAGTATGATCATGCCACTGCAGTAACCTGGGTAGCAGAGTCAGACACTGCCTCAAAACGAAAAAAAAAAATTTTGCACATGTACATAAACAGATATGCATAAGAATATCTATTACCACATCAATTTTATAATGAAAAATTGTAAAGAACTGAAATGTGAAATGGAGAATAATTGTTTTCATAGAATGGAATAAAAGAAATAAAATAATAAACTAGGATACAGCTATTAACCTAATAATCTCAAAAATATAATACTTTGTGAAAAAAGCAAATTAAAGGATATGTACTTTTTAATGCCATTTTTATAAAGTGTCAAAAGAAGTTTTAAAGATTGTTAATTGTCCACCAAAATCTCCCTCCTTCAATAGTAAGACTGCAGCTGTGATGAGGCTTCCCAGCTAGGTAATAAATTACGTAGGCTTCCTCCATTTTTATAAAGTGTCAAAAGAAGTTTTAAAGATTGTTAGTTAGTCACCAAAATCTCCCTCCTTCAATAGTAAGACGGCAGCTGTGATGAGGCTTCCCAGCTAGGTAATAAATTATGTAGGCTTCCTCGCAGCTATGTATGGCCATTTGAGTAAACTCCTGCCAGTGTAATGTTGCCAAAAGTGGTAAGTGCAAATTCTACCTCAGAAAAATCTGGTCCTAGGTATATACCCTGTTTCCTCCTCAAGCCCTGCTGGATTAGCAACAACTAAAGAGAGCTAGGAAGATAGCAGGTTCCTGAATGACTACATGGAACAAATTCACTCTCTAATCTAGGCTTTCAAATACAAGAAATAAATTTTCAAGAAATAAATCGCTTCTCAGGCTTTTGGCTAAGATCAAGTGTAGTATTTGTTCTTATCAGAAATAAATTTCTATATCATTTAAGCCCCCAAATTTTTAGGATTTCTGTGTTAAAGGATTTTAGCCTTTTACTCTAGCACACAAAACAATAATATATATTTTTGTGAATATATATAACTGAAATATAAAACTACAGAATGGAATGATAAATCCAAAATAATAGTTTATCCTTGAGGAGGAAGAATAAGTAATGATATTAGGAAGAGAGACCTAAAGGACTTCAACTCTATAATATTTCCTTCTTAAGTTTAGCGACACAGTGTTCATTATGTTTATCTCTACATATTTTTGTCTAAGTTATTTCATAATAAAGAATCTGGATGAGGCCGAGTGTGGTGGCTCAAGCCTGTAATCCCAGCACTTTGGGAGGCCAAGGTGAGAGGATTGCTTGAGTCATGGGTTTGAGAACAGCCTGGGCAACTTGGTGAGATCTCATCTCTACAATAAATTTTTTAAAAAAAATTATCCGGTCATGGTAGCACACGCCTGTAGATTTGGTTACTTGGAAGGCTGAGGTGGAAGGATCACCTGAGCCCAGCAGGTAGAGGTTGCAGTGGCAATGAGCATGCCACTGCACTCCAGCCTATGCGACAGCGTGAGACTCCAACTCAAAAAAAAAAGGAATCTGGATGAATATATAGACAATGATATGTATCAATTTTAATATAATATTATACATATTATATTAGATATATAGCATTTGTCTTATACCTTCATTTCATATTCTATTGATCATACTTCTTTTATTATTACCATCATTCTCAAATGCTAAACATATCAGCTGAATTACTTACTTTCCTGATGCTCTGGATCACTTCCTTCATTCTCAGTCCACTGGATAAACTGTAAAATGTTCTGCTTAAAGAACCTCTGGGCCAGGTCCAATACATTTTCTCCATTATCATTGAAGGCTTTTAAAGCTTGTGTTCCACTGCTCATTCTACTGAACAGGAATTTAAAACAATGAAGGTGGCCTTCCATGGCTGCTAAGTGAACTACAAGTAAGAAAAAAAATAATAATTTAATTTTATTTTTTATTATGTTTTAATTTAATTTAATTTTTTTTAGTTGGAGTCTCATTCTTGTCAACCAGGCTGGAGTGCAGCGGCATGCTCATGGCTACTGCAGCCTTGACCCGCTGGGCTCATGCAATTCTTCCACCTCAGTCTTTCAAGTAGCTGGAACTACAGACGCACACCACCACACCCAGCTAGGTGTTGTGCTTTATTGTAGAAACGAGATCTCACCAAGTTGCCCAGGTTGGTCTCGAACCCCTGGGCTCAGGCAATCCTCTCACCTTGGCCTCCCAAAGTGCTGGAATTACAGGCTAAGCCACCATGCCCAGCCTATATTTTAATTTTAATTTTATTTATTCATTTTTTAGGGACAGGGTCTTGTTCTGTTGCTTAGGCTGGAGTACAGTGGTGCAATCACAGCTCACTGTAACCTCAAATGATCCTTTCACCTCAGCATTCCAAGTAGCTGGAACTATAGGCATGTGCCACCTTACCCAACTTTTTAAAAAAATTTGTTTTTGGAGATAAAGTCTTGCTACATTGCCCAGGCTAGTCTGGAACTCCTCTCTTAAGTGATCCTACTGCCTCAGTCCCTGAGTAGTTAGAATTACAAGTTGAGAGCCACTCCACCCAGCAGAATTTAATTTTAAAATTAAAATTAAATAACTTGAAAAAAGAAACAACACATTAGCTCTATTCCTCATAGGGAGATGACTATCCCTGTCCTAGATGACTTTCCCTTAGCAAGAACAGACCTTTTTTCCAGCATGTATCTCTTTACATAGTCAGACTTCTAGTCAAGCCAAAGCAGTAAATGGTTGAACAGTTATACCGAATGTGAGTACAGAGAAACCAGATGAAGGTTACCAAACAGGAGACCCCAGAAAATTATCTTAGAAAGTAAAATCTCAATTATATAACATTTAATTACAAGATTTAAAGTTTATTATGCAAGTAAAATTAATAAATAAAATGTAATATTGTGGAAATGAGGAAGAAATAAATAATAGTCACTATAAAAATATGAATTATATTTTTATCACTATGCATGTTAACTCTTCTATAATAATTTATTATTTTCAACATAAACAAGAGACTACGTGAAAACTGTGCAGACTTAGCACACACACTGATCTCACCATTTCCAGCCTAAATCCCTGAAGATAATAAAAAAGGTATTTTTTAAAGTCATAAAGGATTAAAGAAACAAATAAGAAAGGATAAAGTATAATGGATCAAACTGAGGGACAGCCAAAACTCAAAACCTTCAGGGGGGAACAAAAAAGAAAGAAAGGAAAGGGTCAGAAGTTGTTATAAGCTTAGAAGCAATGATTACAAAGACCAAGAGAGTCTTTACACCTCCTTAGAAGTGAACACTTGGGAAATAAGTGCAATTAATACACAAACCTTGACTATGGAGATATAGGGCAGTGTCCAAGTGACCAGGAAAACTCAGGAAAAACAAGAAGTTCCACTATCCAGAAAATAAGTTGCTGGCATACACCATTCTATCCTCCCATCAGCTGTCCCTCCCACTAATTCTACTTCCCTGGCCCTACCCCAAAACTTTAAATTCTTCTAACTGCTTACTCGTCATACTCATTTAAATGTCTTACAAGGATTTCTAACTTTTATGTCAAAAGCTGAACTCCTTATCCTCCTCACAAACATTTTCCTTTCATAGTCTCCCCATCTTAGTTAATGGAAATCATGTTGTGCAGGCCACAAACCTTGAAGACATTCTTGACTTCCTTTTTGCCACTCCCTACATCTACTCCATCAAGATATCCTATTGGTTCCTTCAAAATATACACAGAATCTGATTACTTCTATCTTTGCTGCCTCCACACTGGTTCAAACCAAATTACTGCATTTGACTCCCAAATGCTCTTCCTATTTTTGCCCTTGCCACAGCCACACCCTCCTTGCAGTCTACTATAAACATAATAGTCAACTGACCACAGCCAATGTCATTCTGAATGGAGAAAAGTTGAACAGGTTTCCCCTCAGAACTGGAAAAAAGTAAGAATGTCCACTTTCACCACTACTATTCAATGTAGTATTAGAAATCCTAGCCAGAGCAATCAGGCAAGAAAGAAATAAACAGTTTCCAAATTGGAAAAGAAGAAATCAAATGGTCTCTGTATGCTGACAATATGATTTTATAACTAGAGAATCCAATATCCCTCCAAAAGGCTCCTAAATTTGATAACTGAATTCAGTAAAGTTTAAAAATACAAAATCAACACACACAAATCAGTAACACTGCCACACACCAATAGCAGCCAAGCTGAGAATCAAATCAAGAACTCAATTCCATTTACAATAGCAGCCAAAAAGCAAAAATACCTAGTAATATATTTAACCAAGGAAGTGAAAGATCTCTACAAGAACTACAAAACACTGACAGAAGAAACTAGAGTACACAAACAAATGGAGAAACATCCACGCTCATGGATTAGAAGAATCAACATTGTTAAAATGACCATATTACCCAGAATAATCTACAGATTTAATGCAATCTCTATCAAACTACCCATATCATTTTACCAGAATTAGAAAAGACTATCCTAAAATTCATATGGAACCAAAAAAGAACCAGAATAACCAAAGTAATCCTGAGCAAAAAGAACAAAGCTGGAGGCATCACATTACCTGACTTCAAATTATATATATACTACAGGCTGTAGTAACCAAAATAGCAAACAATGGACCAATGGAATAGAATAGAGAATCCAGAAATAAACTCAAATACCTACCACTGATCTTAGACAAAGCAGACAAAAACATAACATGAGGGAAAGGACACCCTATTCAACAAACGGTGAAGGGAAAACTGGATAGCTATATGCAGAAAAATGAAACGCAAACCCTATCTCTCACCATATATAAAAATTAATTCAAGATGGATTACAGATAAATGTCAGACTTGAAACCATAAAAATTCTAGAAGAAAACCTAGGAAAAACTCTTTTTTTTTTTTTTTTGAGTTGGAGTCTCACTCTGTTGCCCAGACTGGAGTGCAGTGGCCACTCCCGGCCACCGCAGCCTCAACCTGCTGGGCTCCGGCGATCCTTCCGCCTCAGCCTTCCAAGTAGCCGGAATTACAGGCATGCACTACCATGCCCGGCTGATTTTTTGATTTATTGTAGAGATGAGGTCTCGCTGCCCAGGCGGGTCTCGAACCCGCGGGCTCAGGCAATCCACTCACCTCAGCCTCCCAAAGGCACGGGATTACAGGCTGAGCCACCGAGCCCGGTGGAAAAACTCTTTTGAACATTGGTTTAGGCAAAGACTTTAGGGTTAAAACCCTAAAAGTAAATGCAACAAAAACAAAATAAATAAATAAGATTTAATTAAACTAAAAAACTTCTTCACAGCAAAAGAAATAATCAACAGAGCAAACAGGCAACCTACAGAATGGGAGAAGATATTCACAAACTATACATCTGACAAAGGACTAATATCCAGAAGCTACAAAGAACTCAAACAAATCAGAAAGAAAAAAGCAAATAACCCCATTAAAAAGTGGACAAATAACATGAACAGACATCTTTCAAAAGAAGATATAAAAATGGCCAGCAAACACATGAAAAAAGGCTCGGCATCACTCATCATCAGGGAAATGCCAATTAAAACCACAATGAGATACCACCTTACACAAGTCAAAATGGTGTGTTTGAGTAATAGCAAGTCAGTGTAGTTCCAACAAAAATGAGATGAAAAGCCATTATTTAAAAACTCAAAAACAATAGATGTTGGCACCGATGCAGAGAAAAGGAAACACGTATACACTATTGGTGGGAGTATAATTTAGTACGACCTCTATGGGAAGTGGTATGGAGATTTCCTAAACAACTAAAAGCAGAACTACCACTTGATCCAGCAAGCCTACTACTAGGTATCTACCCAAAGGAACAGAGATCAATATATAAAAAAGACACCTTCACCCGCATGTTCACTGCAGCACAATTGCAAAGATGTGGAATCAACGTAAATGTCCATCAACCAATCAGTGGATAAGGAAAATGTGGTGTATGTAGATATATACCATGAAATACTTTTCAGCCATCAAAAAGAATGAAATAATGTGTTTTGCAGCAACTTAGATGGAATTGGAGAACATCATTTTAAGTGAACTAACACAGTAACAGAAAACTAAACACTGTCTGTTCACTCTTACAAGTGAGAGCTAAACTAAGGATCTCCAAAGGCATAGAGAAAAGTATAACGGACACTGGAGACTTAGAAGGGGGAGATGGAAAGGATGAAGGGACAAAAAAAAATCACTTATCAGATACAATGTACATAGGTGGGAGTGATGGGTATGCTTAATGTCCAGACTTCTTCGCCACAATACAATGCAACAATGTAACCAAAAGCTATTTGTACCCCCTAAAGCTATTGAAATAAAGAAAAAAAAAAATAATAGCCAAATGATCCTCTTAAACTTGTCAGATCATGTCATATCCTATGATCAAAACCCTCCAGTGAAGGTGGGCACAGTAGCGTACACTTGCAGTTGCAGGTACTCAGGAGGCAGAGGCAGGAGGATCATTTGAACTCAGGAGTTTAAGTCCAGTCTGGGCAACATAGTGAGGCTGATAAGAAAGAAAGAAGCCTCCAATGGCTCCTTTTACCTCCCCAACATCATCGTCTAATATCCACCTCCTCATTTTTGTTGGAACTACACTGACTTGCTATTACTCAAACACACTATGCACACCCCTGCCTCAAGAGGTAACATTTGCTGTTACCTCTTCCTGATATGTTCCTCCCCCAGTATATCCACAAGATCTGCTTCCTCAACTCCTTCAAGTGTTTTCTCAATTGACACTTCCTCAGTGAAGGCTTTCTTGACCACCTATTTTAAACTTCATCCCCTCTAACACTCTCTCCTCCACTTTCCTACTTTATATTTATCCAAACACACCCTCACCACATGAAGGCAAGACTTTGCCTGCATTACTTGCTATGAT